CCCCAAAACCCCAAAACCCCAAAACCCCATAAATATTTAGAAACGTTGACGATTTTGATAAGCAACATAGAAGACTAATCTTTTTATACAAAATAGGATTTCTAATGCAAACTTTAAGTCTGAGGCTGTATGGTTTAATACGAAGATTGTGGCTGAAGACTCCTAGATTAAATTTAGTGCTTCATAGCTACATTCAAAATTTTGAATTTTCTATAAATCAGACATTTTTATTAAAGTATTCATATTAAACAAAAGATTATAGCACAAAAGTTAGATGAGATATTAATAAAATGGAGCTATTATAAGAAGTGGATCCTTCCTCCTAAAGCTCTAATAGTCTTGGATGGTCTAGGAGATGTGACACTTTACTTATTAAAGATTCTTGAATAATAATATGCTGCCAATGTGCTCTTTTTAATCTAATTCCACAGTAAATAAGATTAGAGAGGCTCTTACCATAGAAGGAAGCAAGACTCTATACTAATTCTATTGGAGCTTAATATTCTTATAAATTTTCCAGAATAATTTTCATACTGATGCAAGCATTACTCCTTAAAATTACAAATATCATCATATTCTAAAACAAAGTGTTATTAATAATAATTTGATTTCTTTTTGAAGAACTTTCCGTCATAATCTTTTAAATTTTCAAATATTCTACTAACTTGGCATCTATCAACCCTTCATTGAATGTAAATAAGAATATGTTAGTTTAAGTATAGTAGGAATAAGCAATATTCCTTCAACTTCAGAATTTATCCAGCATCCAACAATCACAGACTAGATAACTAGCTGACAGCTATTTAAAATAGCTGTTTAAAACATTGCTTAAGCATGAATCAGTTATTTTGAATTCATACTAAAATATTGACTTCTATTGTCATCATTTATGAAATTTTATTAATTTGTCTTACAACTAAGTTATATAGCCTTGATGTGCTCCTTCTGGCTATTTTCAAACGAATATCGCTTTGTTCGATTGTTCTCTTTCTTATTTAAAGCAGAGTGTTAAACTAGGCCTAAGGATTTCATGGGCATCTATTTTCATAGAGTTTCTCCAACTCTTGACTGTGGTGAAAAGCAGATTTTTATTCCTAATCCATATCTGAAGATCAAGAGGATAGATATGCACATGGAATAAAGCTGATTGTGTCAAAGGATTTCTCTAAACATTCTTAAGTTAAAATATATTATGAATTTCTGTTAAGGTTTAAAATAAATAGTGATTCATAAACCATGAATATAGTTACCACTGAAAATCTTGCATTCATAGAGAATCTCTCTTAAGAAAGACTACATCTCAGCTAAAGTTCATGCCATATATAGGTAAGCTTACTTCTTCAAGAAATCCAGGTTGTTGATTGTCCAACCGTTTTAGTTCTATCATTCAAAGTTTACTGAAAATTTCAATTTCCTCAAAAACTCTGAAAGTTTTTGAGTAGAACAATAGAAATTAAAAAAATAAAGGAATAATTTTGGCCCTCTAGAGCATTCTGGCAGATAACTGGGATATATCAGCTGTCTTTAGCGGCAGAGAAAGTGTGCCATTGCAGTTATGTTTAGTAAATAAGTCATTAATAGAGGGTTATAGTCCTAATGCTCTTAGCTCACCATTTAGGTTATATTCTAATAAGCATTGAATAAGTCTTATAGGCTTTATGCGTACTTTTATGCCTTTTAGAGTCTTTTGTAGTCTATTATATTTGAAATTCATATGCATTTGCTTATATAGGAGATTTCAGTAGGTTGCACTTTTTGGCACATTTAATTCTAAGTAATTAATAATCCTTTCTTAAACCAGCAGCGCAACACTAAATAATGCAAATTCTTCTTATTTCTATAAGCTAGAATTGATTCTTAATAGTGAAGTATAGAAAAATATTTTTAGTAGAAATTAAGAGAATAATGAACCTGAGAAGCTTTTAGGCGCTATCAAGTCTTTCATAGTGATTTCTCTCTCCGGGTGATGCTCTGCTCTCACTCTCTGCTTGGTATGAGCATCCTGAATAGAGTGGTTTGCTATAGACATTCGTTTCATTTTTTGAAGAGGTAAATTCTTCATTTTTCTTTTTGAGTTTGACCAAGACGATGATTTAATCTTGCTCGATTTTACAAAAGGAAGTCTCGTGGTTGGAACTTCTATATTTTTGCTTTCTTCTTTAGAATTTTTTCCAACTTCTAGTTTAATAGGAGTAGACTTGGATTTGCTCCTTTCTCAATCTTCTAGTTTGAAATGGAAAGGAGAGTAGGACATGTTCTTAGCAAGGTTTAAAGATTTGGTCACTGCCAGGACTGAAGCATTCTCGTCTAAAGACTCTTCTGATAAATTTTCATCGAATTGCAATGAATCATTCATATTTTAATTATTTATAAGACTCAGCCTTCAGCTCTTATATGGGGTTTTGGGGTTTTGGGGTTTTGGGGTTTTGGGG